ACGATGTCCCGTTTTTGCTCCGTATACGTGTTGTGATGTCTGTGTTTGTTTCCCCTGTCGCGAGTTCTGATCGCTCAGTGATGATACTATACCTATATAATCTGTGGAGTCTCAGCTTTAATCGGATATCTTGTTTGTGCAGTTACGATAAGTAATAAGGGTATCTTTATCTTGAGTTCTGTGCCAAGTCCGTGAGCTTTTTTTCGCTCAGGGGTCATTTAGACGCTTCTTATGAGACTTGTGTTTTGTTTTGGTAAAAATGGTTCGTATCGTCAGTTAGCTGAGGTTCTTCCCGTTCTGTTACCACACATTAATAGGTTTTAAAATGTTAAGAAGCCCTGAGACACAGTCTCGCAAAAAAACGTTCACGAGCGCCCATTGGGGGGATGCTCGTCCTTAAGAGGTTAAATGATCTTGGTGTCATTTTTTCAACAGCACCACCATCATACATTATATTTCTACATATTTTTTCTTAACCAAAATATTGCGCTTTCTCTGATTTAGATGCAGTAGTCCATATTATTGGCTTATTAATTAAAAGAATGACTAATTACAGCTTTGAATGCAATATCTCCCCTCTAGTATATGGGGACTAACAGATTCAGATTACCTTATTGTCCATTAACTTGACATACAATGGACATTTTAATCACTATTCAGAGCACAACATACACACAATACACACAAGATATTGCATTTTGAAGTCTTAAAGTGACTAAATGGCTTTCATAAGTAAAGTGCTAAGTGGTTTGTTCTTCCACTGGCTTGAGGTCCATCAAAATATAACGTCAGAGCAATATACATGTTATATTCAAATTGGACATTACAAAGCTCTTCCCGCCAGCTGAGGTCTCACCGAGCACGACGGTGGATACACACCCCGTTTTTGACCTGGAGGAAATCACAGAGGTTGAGGTAAAAAATATAATCTCAGGGTTAAGAGGTTCTAAGGCTAGGGATGCAGATGATTTCGACACCAACTTTATAAAGACACATATCGACGGTCTAATAAAACCAATTACTATGCTAGTGAATCAATCTATCAGCACGAGGGAAGTTCCATCATCCTGGAAGGTGGCCACGGTGACATCTGGGGATAACGCATTGATGTCCAATTACAGACCAATCAGCATCCTCCCCTGTGTCTCTAAGATAGCTGAGAAATGGGTGTCAAAACGAATCACCAAACATTTAGACAAAGGTTTCGCTCCACTCCACCCAATGCAGTTTGGTTTCTGTGCTCACCACTCCACTGAGACGGCTAACTGTGTCTCTGTGAAAAAGGTTAAATGTATGTTGGACACGAGCCCATATGTGCTGTCTTCCTTGATCTCAGAAAGGCTTTTGACACAGTTGACCACCAAGTGCTCCTTACAAAGCTGACTCATTTCAATTTTTCGGCAGTTTCGATACATTGGTTTAAGTCTTACTTATCGAACAGACAACAGTGTGTTTTGGTCAACGGTGCCAAATCCCCCTACCTTGTGAACCCTGTTGGAGTTCCACAAGGTTCCATTCTTGGCCCGTTACTGTTTTCACTGTACATTAATGACTTGCCTAATGTATGTCCTGAGTTGAATGTGCAAATCTCTGCCGATGATGCGGTCATCTTTATACACGGGAAGAACACTGAAATTATCTCATCTCTCTAATGCTTTGGACAAGGTTCAACACTGGCTGAACAACATTTGCTTACAGTTAAACATAAAAAAACAGTATGCATGATGTTCAGTAAACGACCAGTCAAAATCATCGAAGGATCCAACCTGTTTTTAAACGGAGCAGAATTAGAACTAGTCTCCCACTTCAAGTATCTTGGAGTCATACTGGACTCGAACTTGACTTTTAAGAAACATATCAAGAAAGTATCTAATACCATTAAATTCAACTTGCAACATTTTAAACAAATTCAACCCTTCTCAACTGTCAATGCTGCAAAGTCATACCTCCACTGTATGATTCTATCCCACATTGAATACTGTTTTACAAACTGGTGGTTTGCTTGTGCCACAAACCTTAAACCCATAGAACAGCTGTACAAGAGAGCGATCAAGGTGTTTGACAGAAAGCCATATTCATACCACCACTGTACCATCCTTGAAAAACACAATTTCTTGAGTTTTGACAATTTTAAGTCTTTAAAAGTATGTGTTTTTTGAAAATGGAAAATGTCCTTTCTATTAAAGGCAGCTCGTTCTGGAATAGCCTCCAAACTGAGATACGGGATTGTCCCACTCTCAATAGTTTCAAAGGTCAACTCAAAGAATGGTTGCTGCTATATTGTATTACCATGTCATAAATACTTGTGTATGCTGCTCTTGTTCTTTTGCACTTTTTGCATATCATGTATTTTGTTTTTGCTATGTTTGTAAAGTGTAATCTTCTTAAATGTTTTATGTGAGGGACTGCGGATGGAAATTAGCTCAAAGCTAAATCTGACACATTTTAATGTTTTAAGTGTTCATTACTGTGCATTGTCCCTGCCAAATAAACGATTAAATAAAATAAATAAATAACTCAATATACATTAAAATTAGGTAATGGTGGTAGTAGCAGAATGTTCTAAGAAGGATCCTTGAGAATTGGAAAGGAGGCTTATGGGTTGAAAACGAGATATTCATCGAGCCTCTCGTATCAATACTTCGAGATTCCCTCTTCCCCCACAGCTTGTCCTTCCTCAAACTGTAAAGATAACTACAAAAGTAACTCTTTGGGGTGGAAAGTATTCTGTATTTAACACTTGGCGGTTACATCTCAAAGGTCAAGCATCTCACTTTAAAGTGGTTCTCATTTTTCAACACATGTGCACCGAGAACAAAAGCCCCTTCTCCGATGGCGAAGAGAGCATACCAAAGTGTGTCAGGTCAAAGCAATCATGTTGGGGATTAGCTGAGCACACGGAAAGACACACACACACACACACACACACACACACACACACACACACACACACACACACACACACACACACACACACACACACACACACACACACACACACACACACACACACACACACACACACACACACACACACACACACACACACACACACACACACACACACACACACACACACACACACACACACACACACACACACACAACTGTATTCCCAAGTCAAGGGGGAAAAAATAGGCGTTTGAATCAATAGCTCCTCTTAAAGGAATTAAAACATATTTCATTACACTTTGCAGCGATTAGCTTTTTCCTCTGAAATCAATGTTCATATGACATCTGCTTCTCTATGGAGAGTCATTCCACTTTCTAACTGTTTTGTAATAAACCTTAAGTCAGAAAACATCACAATTTCCGTGGTGATGTCTTTAAAACCATTATCTTTGTGACAATTGATTGAAAGAAAAAATTCTCCATGAGCGACAAATTACTTCATTAGCGCTTGCTACTCTTTTACGAACGTTAGGAAGAGAAAACTCCAAGACAATTTACTTCAAATGTGCCTCCATTATAATTAAAAGAAGGACTGATTACAGCTTTGAATGCAATATCTCACCTCTAGTATCCGGGGAGTTACGCAATTCAGTGCTAATTCAGCAATTATTGTATCTCTTAATATGGGAGGCCTCGGGCACCAACTTATCAAATAATGTAAGCAGTCGGAGATGAGAAAATAGCACATTGTGAATTAAGCTGCGAAAAACAATAATGTGTGGCAAACGTACCCTGCTTCTTATCATAGTATGACTCAGACGGCATTACTATGCATATGGGATTATGGGAGCCAACGCAGTATATTCCTGGATGGAATATATAAGCGATGGATGTATGCAGCGAGTGATTGGATGGGACTGGCATACTAAGGTCCTATCATACCAGCTTAAAGGCTTCAAAGCAGCACTTTTATACTTACTGTATAATAATAAAAAAAATAAAAATTCTATAGCGTTTTCTTGAACCCAAAGACGCTTTACATTTGGGAGGGAGGGTAAAACAAAGCCAAAAAGACACAAAGAAACAAAACAAAACAGAAAAGCAGTCAGGAGGAAGTTGGTTGAGAGGGGGGGGGGGTGGCTTATGGTGGGTACAGAGTTGAAGAGGTGGGTTTTGAGGAGGGACTGGAACAGGGTGAGGGACTCAGACTCACGGAGGACTTGGGGGAGGGAGTTCATACTCTCTGTATGTGACAGAGAGTTGAGACTAATTAGGCAGACAGAAATTCTACAGTTAGTGGAGAAGACTGCCAACAGGCTTGGCATTTACAGCGCTTTGCAGGTGGTTTTTTGCATAATAAAGGAATCTTTACTTGTGGCAAGCCAATTGTAAATGCTGTCTTAGTGGAGGAATGCAATGAGACCTATCCATAGCACTTATTCATAATATTTTATCCATATAACAGTTTTTTTAAATGAGTTTTAAGGAAAATATGAAAGTATTTTTAAGGCAAGCTTTGCAAAGAAACTAGTTGATGTGGTTGACAAATGAGGGCACAATACAAGTAGAATATTTTCAGACATGGACACAATCTGGAAAATGTATTCAAAATGGAAAGCGTTATGAGGTGATTCCTGTGTAAAAGCAGAACATGACGACCATGTCTTTATGCGATAATTCAAAGATAATAAACAGTAATTGCTTTCCAGTGCAACATCTACCCTTTCCTGTCCCATTTCATCTTTTCGTTTCTAAAGTGACAAGAAGTCAGACGAGGATCGGCTGCTTCGATTACTTGATGTCACCAAATCAACTGCACAAGAATTAAAACAAGCGATATGAAGCCAAATGGAAATTAACTTTGCCATGTTGATTAACACTTTGTCTACTTCGGTTGAACCTCATTACATTAAATACAGCTTTATTTATAAAGCACTTTAAAACCTCCAGACCAAAGTGCTGTACAGTCAAATAAACAAACACACATACAAAAAGCTCACACACCATCAACTAGTACAAGTAAAAACAATAGACAATTTAAAAGCAACAATCTACAAGATGTCAAAACGCGAAGGAGAAGTATTGAATATGTAGTTGTGTATTCTTACCGGTGATGAGCTCTCTAACTTCCATGTCGTTGGTCTTCCTCAGCAGGCGCACGAGGCCCGGGATGCCGTCGCAGATCTTGATGGCCACCTTGTTGTCGTTGTCCTTTCCGTAGGAGATGTTGCGCAGGGCGCCACACGCCTTACGGTGGACTTCAGACTTGGGGTGGTCCAGAAGCCCCACCAGGACAGGGATCCCTTTCAGCTGACGCACATCCTTCTTTATCTTATCGTTCTCGTAGCACAGGTGCTGCAGGTAGGCCGCAGCGTTGGACTTCACCGGGTCGATGGGGTGGCCCAACATGGCGATGACCTCCGTGAGGTCGGGGTCACGCCAGCGCGGGTCCTTACGCATGCTGTCGATGGAGGGGGAACGCCGGCCTGCCAAGCGGTCCAAACTGGCCATGCTGCCCCTCTCTGGGAGGGCGAGAGGAGCTGAATACATGCTGTGGATGTAGGGGTGGCGCTCATCGATCAGCTCTGGCTCGATGGCTTCGTCTGGGTATCCTCTGGAAGGAGAAAAGAAGAGAGGACAGTGAGGACAAGGGAGACAGACGAGGTAAATGGAGGGTGACTCAGACAGATTTGTCTGAGAGAGGAATTAGGCAGCCGGGGGGGAAGACTTTGAAAGAAGCTAACTGAGGTGAGAAACTCTGACTAATGAGGGGAAGAGAGGATGGGGTGAGGAAGAGGTGAGAAGGAGTGGGTGATGGAGATAAGGAGGGAAGGTGGTGATCTCCGGTTTGGATTCCGATGACTTGTATATAGACTATTCTTGCACAATTTCTATTATATTCTATTTTATTTTATTTACTTGCAGTATTTTATCTGTTTTATTGTGTTGCACTGTTGGAGGCGCCTGGGACCTAAGATGTTCATTGTCATAACTACACTGTAGCTATGTACACATGACAATAAAAGCCTTGAATCTTGGATGAGTTATTAACAGGTTAGTCACATTTGTCCTCGCTGGCAGGTGGTAGCAGCACACGTCAGACATCAACACAAGTCTTAGAGAGAGTGATTGAGCGATAGGAACCAAAAAGGCAGTTCACGGAGAAACAGAGACAAAGGCAACACCAAAGAAAAAGCTTTTAAAGAAAGTCTTGTGAACTTTTCTTTGTTAGGAAGCCACCATAAAGAGCAGAGAAGGGATTGAATATTTATCCCCAGGGAACACAGAACAGAGCTGTGCTGTGCTGTGCCCCCAGGGAAGACTACGAGCCTCTGTGATGCCCCCGGGGCTCTCAGGGCTCACAGCAGCCAACACTAGCATTTGGTGGCTGGAATATGAATGACCGTAGCCTCATCCCAATACTCCTCCTCGACTCCTCCTTTCCCTCACTCGCTTCCCTTCCTTGCGTCTTAGCTCCGCCTCCGTAAGATGCGAGCGAGAGACACGAGGAGGTGACGCGAGGACAGAGGAGTCCTCAGGTATTAATTGGGATGTCCTCGTTCACTCAAACGTCACTCTTAAATGACGTCTGTTAATGATGACATGTGCACAGCTGTGTCCCCTCTCATCGGGCTTAACTGGATAACCCTTTAGAACCGGCACATTTGTTGTTAAATATTTATTTAAATGAATCTTTCTCTTGTTAATCAAGGAATTCAATGTATGATGGTTGGTCCTGCTTTTGTGTTCCGTTTTGGTGTAAAATGTAGCCTACATTCAAATACAAATATAATTATAGTAATGTGAAAGCCTTTGAGAAATGAATTGCACATAATAATTCCCACGGAGCTGTGAGCACTTATACATTTATGTGACGCTTTTCCACTCATCTTCCAGTTGTGGGTTTTCCTCTGTTGAAATGGACCAGCTGTGAAGGTGGGGGCGGGGCTTTTATACGCGAGTAGTGAAAACACTTCCGCGTAGTCTGCTCGCATGTATCCTCCCTTTCGCCTCCTCCCTTTTCGTCTCCTCCCTCACCCCTCCTCGACTCCTCCGTGTGCATTTCAGCTATTGAGACGTCCTTCAAAATGGCGTGTCTTGATCGATTTCCGGGTCAAGTCCCGGAGGAGGGGAAGAGAGGAGTCGAGGAGGGGTATTGGGATGAGGCTCATGTCTTTAGGTCTTCCCTGCTAGCGTTAGCCTCGTTAGCATCAATTCTGTTAGGGTTGCTTTGAGCTCTACTCAATTCCTGTGATGGAAGTGTTGTCCTCTGGGGGAGGAAGAGGGGGGTTGCTTAGTTTTCACAGGATGCCCTTCAATAAATCTATATTTCGGAAATGTCTATTATCTGCACCTTAGGGTTCTTTACACCAAAGGCATCCTCATAAATCCTCTATGGGAACATGGGGGAAAATTAGACGCTCAATTTTAAATGACAGATCATTAACTGCTACTTGAAAACAACACAGGTTACTTGTTATAAATAAAGCTCTTTAATCATAGCAACAATATTTCTAACCAACAGCGAAGAAGCAGTCCGTGGAGTCACGTATTACAAAAAAAGTTGCTCACCAATTCTTTCAAAACTTACTAGACAAAATGTTTTGAACAAACCATGCTGAGTCGTGTAAAGGGATGGGAGAATGTATGTTGGGGAAAGTTAGGACATGGTGGGAGGAATTCAATTAGGGTTGTGTAGTTATGCACAGCGTTTATCATCCCCCCGCCCACCCCACAGTTTGAGACTTGTTTATCCTCATTACATAATCCATCTGGTCTCCTCTCACCACCTTTGATGTATGGTGGTTGGTGGTGCAACAGAAATGGTGGCCAACGCTGGTGGTTGGCAAGAATTTCGAGACCAAGCTCACATTTTTAATGAGTTTTATGTTAATTATGTGCTTTTACAGTTCTTCCCAGGCATGTTGGGATAAGAGAGAAGGCGGGGGGGGCTATGCATGCCACTTGTCTCAGCTCTGGTGTATTCCTCTGTTGCAGAAACCATGCAGGGACACATTGACTTTTATGGTAGGCATTTTACTGCCTGGAAATCAATATGAAATGAACTGGGAGAAAAACTCTTGCTGGGGAATGTAACAAGATATTAAATCCTCTATTAAGTCGAATGGAAAGAGGATTAATCGAGACAGAATGAGGCGCCACCTCAGTTGAATAAAGTTCAAAGAACCATGAAGCTGAATGGCAAACTTTGCCGAACAAGCGTTGGGAGTCACATTTCTAGAACAGCTGTGGTCTTCTCCAAGAGGTGTTCCTCCTGTTGTGCACCGACAGAAATGTTAAGTCTAGTCATGTTTCATGTTTTGTTTAACCATTTTCTGTCTTGTCTCCCTCTTCCTATCCTGGTGTGTGTCTCCCACCCTCATCAGCGTCAGCCCCGCCCCTGATTGTCCCCACCTGTGTCTTATTATCCTGTGTTTAAATTCCCCTGTCTCCCAGTGTTCAGTGTCAGTTCGTCTTGTCTCTTGCCATGGTCAGACCTATGCTCTCTTTGTGCTCTTGTAAAGTTGTTGTTCCTCACTACGAGAGCGCTTTCATTTTGTTCTCAATTGTTGTCATCTCAGCTAGAGATTTGATAGTGACAATTTTTTGTTCATCTTGCTGTTTTTTGGAAAATAAAGTATCTTACCAATACTTTACGTCTGTCTCCGGGGTCGTGCAATTGGGTCCTACATCCTGAGTGTCTGAGTTCATAACACCTCCTCAAAAAACAAGAGACATTTAACCTAAACGAGAATGGATCTAGTGTATCATCACTGTTTATTTTAAAGTAGTATTTTTCCAGCTTTGTGGAACATTTTAGAGAGCCACAAACAAGGCAGCATGTAGCCACAGAAATAAAGGAGGGGCCAATCAAGCCTGATTACAGCATCATTTAGGGGGGACGGCTCCAGCTCTGGTTTGGAAAAAGAGGGACATTTGCGAGCATGTGTGTGTGCACGTGTTGGTGGATGCGAAATGCTGCCTTGGGTAGACGATAAAAACACACGCTCCCACAATACAGAGGGCTTCACCTAGCTTTCAATTGCTGCGGGATATTGGACATGACAAGTCAAGGAGGCAGGAATAACCCTCCGGAAGAAAGGGCAGTACACAATCTCATATTGAGCTGCATACATAACCGCCATCTCGTTCATAAAGTACCCTCTCATTATCTGCCACACTATGGTTCCCACAGATGAGATGTACAGTTTTCTGATTCAGATTGTGGCTCGTTTAGATCGGTGCCGATGCGGAGGGGCTTTTTGGTAAAGCGTCGCGAGGCTGAGTGATGGGAATGTCAGGATTTGCATTTAAATTGGCGCCATTGTGTGTACGGGGAGGGTCGTAGTCAAAGGATGTGAAAGGGCTCTTTGCCACCAGACGTGATGCTCCGAGCATGATCACAGCAGATCACTCTCATGTTAATGGAGCCGCTAAACGTCCGGCTATTTCTGTGTATCTGTGCGCTCGTCAGAGGATGTGCGCTTGTTTTTTTCTAAGCCACAAAGGATAGAAGAAAAGATAAACAGATACGGTAGATGTATGCATGTCGGCAAACCTTTGTATTCCTCTGGACTTTGTCACATAGCTACACAGCCTTATCTGACCCTCTTGGCATTAGCAAGATGTTTGCATCTCATATGTACACATTACATCTCCACGGCGTTTATGAGCTTTTCACCGACTGCTCCAGATTGCTCGTTTCAAATGATGGGCAATAATTGTTTAATGATGCACAAGAGCCTGTGTGTTTGTGTCATGTCGCTTTCTAATTTCTCCCGCTGTTTTCATGGCATTATCCACCGCCACGACAGCTTGTTCTCATTCAATTAAAGCATAGTGATGTGGCTTAGAAGTTTCCACTAACATGACAGAGGGGGAATATAAAATGAAGCGTCTCTCAGTGAAAGCCTTTTGGCAGGATGGAGTAAGAGGGGGGAGGGGGACCACTTCCTCTGGCTGTTCCCTACAGACACCACTGGATTAGAATGAGACCACCCCATCCTCTCAATTAGGGGATGAGTGAGTGTGTGTGTCTGTGTGTATATGCGTGTGTGTGTGTGTGTATGCGTGTGTGTGTGTGTGTATGCGTGTGTGTGTGTATATGCGTGTGTGTGTGTGTATGCGTGTGTGTGTGTGAGTGTGTGTGTGTGTGTGTGAGGTGACCCCAGATTGCAGGTGGGAGCGGGTCGCCCAAGTAGAGATGAGCCATTAGAGATTGGCTTGAAGACGCCTCTATAGTCTGGCAGAGTTCAAAAGTAAGAGAGGAAGAATGATGAGAGAGAGTAGTAGAGAAGAGAGAGAGTAGTAGAGAGAGAGAGACGATGAGAGATGAAGGAATAGAGCGAGAATATTATCTCTGTAGCATCTCTATAGCTATTATCTGAGTATTTCTCTATCTCTCTATATCTATCTCTCTCTCTCTCTCTCTCTCTCTCTATCTCTCTCTCTCTCTCTCTCTCTCTCTCTCTCTCTCTCACACACACACAAGCACACACACAAGCACACACAGATATAACGGGTGGGCCTAGACTGGGGGGGAAAAGGATGGTAAAGCTCTTACAACCGGATAGCGGGAGGGCAGGAGAGAGAGAGTGGGGAGGAGACACGTTTATTATATGCAAATTTAGCAGGGAAAACAGAAAAGTGCTACAATTATGCGACTTTGAGCAAGGCACTAAATGTTTTTAACTCTTTTCCATTATGTCTTATCGTATTTGTATTCTCAAAGATCAAATCAAATTGACTTTGAAAGAGGCTTAGGTCATAAGACAGGAGCGATCAGTGAATAAAGTAAGATTAGAAATAGGACAAAGGCAAGATGTTCAAGAATTGTAACCAACATATTCCTTAATTCGATGTGAAGCCCTGTCTTCCACCTTCTAAAGACACATGACTATCATGTCCATGCTGCAGGGACCCCATGTAACCTGTATGCAAGCCTCTGCATTGAAGCACTAAAATCCAAGAGTGATGCATGCTCACAGATCCAAGAGACTCCAGCACAAAGTGATACATCATCATTCACAACACATGATGGACGAAATGAGTGCTTGGCGCCAAATCAGGAAGCTGTTTTCGTACTAAACGTCTTCATTTTTGTCGGAGTGTAATTGAGGGCTCGCAACGCAATGATAAGCTGTAATTAAAACGCTTTGATTCCCAGATTCATTACAGCACTTTGGCGTGTCCGCTCACTTTTATGGAAGAATACTAATCACAATGTGAGTGCACGGGAGAGGGCTGATTGTCAATGTTCTTGGGAAGGGGAATCAAATGCTTACAGTATACTAATATGTTTTGATGACGGCTGATTTCAGTACTGGAGAGCAGCTGGAAAGACATTTTTGGCATTTTTTTCCTGTTGCAATTAGTCAGGCAGCCGTCAGTCAGGAGCAGCTTTAAACGTGTGTGTGTGTGTGTGTGTGTGTGTGTGTGTGTGTGTGTGTGTGTGTGTGTGTGTGTGTGTGTGTGTGTGTGTGTGTGTGTGTGTGTGTGTGTGTGTGTGTGTGTGGCTGCTTAGGCTGTGTTGTGACACTTGCAAAACAGCCTACAAATTGCCTGTCACAGCAAGCGCCTCTCACCAGGCGGATGGGGGGGTGACTCATTTTCTGAAGATGTTTTATTGAGCGTGTGGTGTGTGTGTGTGTGTGTGCTTGACAGAGATACTGTGTTTGTAAGTGTCATAGCAACGTCAACAGTGTGTAAGACAGAATCTGATTAGGGCATATGCTTTACTCTACATGCGCATCAATGCACGGGCCTTTAAACCCAGCCATGTGTACACAAGTTTAATTAAGAAGGGTCAAAAAGCAGAATTGATATTCAAACACTTTGATCTTTGCCAGAGAATACACACACACACACACACACACACACACACACACACACACACACACACACACACACACACGTTCCTGTCTTGCTTGTTCCTGCCTCTTGACCCTCTAAGCTCTAAGCCTTTAGATATGGCTTCAAGCACAAACATTTTTATCTCAGATTAATTAGAAAACTGCTCAAAAAGAAAAGCACTTATCACCAACCCAACTTCAAACCCCTGCTGCAATTAACTTGAGGATGGACATTTTTACGGGCCTCCCTTTGGCCAGCAATGAAATGATTGAAAACTATTAAGAGACAAGAGTCTATTCTGGGATGTTATTGTTGGAGGCTTACATTTGAGTTGTTCTCTCTATCGGCTGGAGCCAGAGGTTATACTCCTCCTGACAAACGCTTGCGTAAAAAAGGCTTTGAGAGATGCCTGAAAAAACCCTCCCCCTCCGCCTCTGTCCTCCCTTACCTCCCTCCTCACGTCTGAAAAGCATTCCCGCCTCTTTACCTCTAACAAACACTTGTTCAGTATCCATTTGCAGGAAAATAGCAATCAAAGACGTGTTGTTCTCCGCTCTCTTTCACAAGCAAGTTGCTCAAGGAGAAATGACATCTGTTTACTTGGTGTGTTGTTGTTATTTTTAAGGGCGCGAGTAGGAAAGTGTTATTCCCTCTCATCCTAACAGGGTGATCTCCTCTCATGTCAGGCAAGCCTCCGCTCATTCATACAAACAAGAACTCACTGTCCAATGACTTTTTATCTGTGTAATATCTGTATCATGGTCCATTGTAGTGTAAGATGTTTTATTGAGTGCTTGTTTGTGTGCTTGGGAGAAATACTGTGTTTGTAAGTGTGAGTCAAAAGTGTGTAAAGACAGAATCTGATCATATGCTTTACTTACCCTAATCGGCTTCTAATCTACTCGTATCTAAAAACCTCTACTCTGCTCAGTCCCTGTTGCTACAATAGCAGGTTTGAATACAGCCTGAGTTTGTAATCTTGCAATATACTTATTTATATAAATAAATATCCACGCAATAAACCGTATTTAATTTTGTCTTAATTTACATTATTTTATTTCGTATTCTGTTCTAGACTTTTTGCACTACTTTTTTGAATTGTTGGAGGAGCTCAGGTCAGAAGATTCTCATTGCCATTTCTGCACTGTAGCTTTGTGCTTATGACAATAAAACCTTTGAATCTTGAATCTCAAGTATCTCACTCTAATAAATGCTAAACAGGCCCCAAAAAAACCCCAAACAAACTTTAAAAACCTCTGCTCTCTCTTGATTATTGCACTGCATCCTCACCTGATTCTGGGCCCATCACGCAGAGGTTCCCGGTGGGTGCGACCCCGGTTGGGCCCCTGCAGGGTGCCTGTACGACGGTTGGCGGTGGAGTAGTCCGGCTCCAGCTCGTATGGCTCCTCCTCTTCAGGGGGAAGGCTGCGGCGATCGTCCTCTAGGCCGTACGGCTCGGCCTGGAAGCGTTCGGGCTGCGAGCGGTTCAGATCCACGGTGCTGCTGCCCATGGGCACCTGGGGCTGGGCCACGTGGCCGTAGTCATCCTTGCGAATGGGCAGGGTGTAGCTGTTCTCCGGCCGGTAGCTGTTGGGCATGTAGGGGTAGCGAGGCGGCCGGAAGTTGACCCCACGTGAAAGGCTGCCGTAGTTCTCCGTCAGATCGGCGTAGCCATCGTGCAGCCCGTAGTGGCGGACGTACTGGCTCTCGGGCGCCTCGCCGTATGAGTCGTTGTAGGAGTTGTTGTAGGAGCGCGTCAGGGTGGAGGATGCTTGAGGCGTGATGAAGCGGTCACCTCCGTTCTTCATGTAGCGCCGGTCGATGGAGTCGGTGTAGCTGCCCAGCGGGGACGAGCCCTCGGGGAGGGGCAGGCCGTCGGGGCCCAGCGGCACCTGGCGCACTGTTCGAGTGGTCACCGTCTTCACCATCTTAGTCACCTGCAAAGAGGACCAGATACAGCTATCAGACAGTGTGGCAAGATGGTGTTAAAGCAATCCTCATGCTGTCCATTAAACAGAGATATTTGCCTCTGTGGAGGACATTGTGTTAGTTAGCCACTCGGTGAAAGAGGAAGACAAACAACCTGGAAAAAAAGCTATTTGTGCATGCGTTTCATTTTGGACGTTATGCAGAGGAAACCTCATCCATGTATGTTAACTCAATCAAACTTGGGAGTTAGTTTCTCTTTTGTTTTGGGGAACAGGGTGCAAAATAGATGTTAAGTCAATAAGCAAAATTGCAAGTGAAGTTTAAGATTATATTACGAGATTTGGCCGGTAAGTAATGAAAACAAACTAGCCAATTGCATATTTTACCTGCATTTGGCGGGCGAACGGTACTGATTTTGTACCTTGTCTGTAAGTTTCATGGACCATTGTAGTGTCATAGATGTTTATGACACTGAAGTTAGTTAGGAATTATTTTCTGAACACCAATGCATAATTATAATTCCTCTAACAAAAACACTTGTGGATGTGCTGAGGGACGAACCTCCATTGTAGTGGAGGTACAGTAGATACTAACTGACACATATCCAGTTGTAAGGCCTGTGTAACCAATTGGTGTTACCTCTAATTATAAAGTGGATTAAGTCGGTACATGTGGTATAACAATAATAAGGCAAATAGTGTCAGCCAAGTCATAACTGAAAATATTGCATACACACTGTCTTGGTAGTGTCCTAGCTTGTTCTGTAACTAAGCCATCTTAAAGAGCTACATCTCCAATAGTCCTTGAATCCTTTTTATATCCAAGGGAACAACGTAGCATCACACTGTGACTGCCATCCCTGCATGTATCCATATCTCACGCTGACATCACACTATAGCTACATAACTCTGTTCCCTCTTCTTCCTCTGAGACGATGGCTGGAGAATCACACACAGCTTCCCCCTCCTTCCCTGCTCTCTCCACCCGTACAGAAACCAATTTGCTGCCCAGTGAATTCTGCTGTGGCCAATAATTGGCTATTTTCTCGACGGCTATAAATTCATCTTCAAATTAATGAGGTTTATGAAAATTAATCATCAGGGTTGCAGGTCCGATGCAATTTCATGTTGTGCCTGACGAGGTTGTCGCAGAGAGGTTCACTTGATGAGCGTAGATTGCCATTTCAATTTCTCAGGGAAAGGAAGAAAAAGACTCATTCCACATCTGATGGGTTTAATTTCCAACACCAGCTCTCTTAATTGTGATATGCTTTCTTTGTTTTCCCATCCATGATATCATTTCGATTTTAATCAGTGACAGGCATGTAACGATATCGAGGAACCACAACAACGCATTAACCTTCGCCACAGAGAAGCAAAAGCACAAACAACATATCGGTTGTTCAACATCCTCATTAACTTGGTTGAAACAAATAGAAATGTTCACTGGCCTTCTGAGCTATATCAAAAAGACTATTTCAGGATCGCCAAGCTTCATTTCCATGTTCAGAGTAATTACTAAGCAATGTACGTTTGTTTCTGATGCCACGCCGCCTTGGCTTTGCACAGTAATAAATAAAGGGCTCATTTGCGTGACGCACATTAGCCAAAGCATATGGATGACCTTGGAATAACAAGCTCCCTTTCATCTACTTGATCCACAGCGGTAAGAAAACAAACTGGTCTTCATAGCATGGATCTAATTCTAACTCTGGGCCTCAAAGGACTGGAAGTCATGTCTCGGATGAAGCAATTACAGGGTATGCAGGAATCCTGAAGTCAGACCTTTCAAGACCCTTTCCATACATTTTAAGACCTCATCGCCACTTGGAGTTTTAACCGGTTACCTTGGCGACACACTTTACCTCACATTGACTATATACAGTGTTGATTGTCCTTCCTCCTTATCTTCCAACCATTTGGACGCAGACTTGCATTTCCCCATAACGATGTTGCTTAGCAACCGGCGTAAACGGACCTTCGCGCTATCAAGCAGTGAGCGTGCGATGTCCTGTTCAGATGACGTCAAACCCAACGGGATGCCATAAATAAACTACACAGAATCACACTACACACCTACGCAATGATTACATTCAGGCAGACTGTAGAATACAACCTCTTTGGACAATTTATATACTTAGGTTTCGTGAAAGGCGCTATATAAATTGAAATTATTATTATTATTAAAACAAGCTACAAAATGTAATACCTTGGAAAATGCCGTTTAATACTTTTTAATAGCCTTAATTTTCACTAAATGGGTTTATCAACTTTTAATACTTTTTAAGACCCTGAATTACATGCGCATAATGCATTTAATTTATAAAAAAACATGTCGACTTCATTTGCATTTGATATTCCTTAAATTAAGGATAAAATTAGGGTTTATACTTTAGAAGCAAGTCTTGTTTTTCTATTGAAGCCAAAAAGAGACTTGTCATTGCAACTTTTATGTCTGTGTTAATGTAGTTTATATGAATGCATCTTGCCTACTCATATTGGATATCATCCACCAGATTCATTACGCATATCTATCTTTGGGATGGTTGGTCTGCCCTGACCATCCCTAGACTAAACCATTGGCAGATCCTTATTTATAAAGCTGTTCTTGGTGTTCTTTCACCTCATCTGCAACTGTAAATCCATCAGTAAAGAACGGGATCTCATCGGCTTCACTCTGAGGACTTGTTCTTACTACCAGTCCCAAAAGTCCACACTGAGCTGGGAAAAGGGCATTTAGTGTGACGCAGGTCACACTGTCCCGAAATTGACACCAGATGGACACACGATAAAGGAAATGTTCAAATTAGGCTCTGATTGTATCAACATCGGGCCATTCGTGAGGGCATTTTAAGCCATCGTATGACCGCCGGTGGAGTTTCTCAGGCTCCGGCAGCAACTTCGTGAGCGGCAACTTCGTGAGGCACTCGTGAGGGCATCTTGTCAAATCGTGTCATCTTCGTGTTATCATCGGTGCATTCACCCTCACTCTGATCGGGGCGAATGCCCGATGGCACCGATGATAACAAGATGCCCTCACGATGGCCTTACGAAGGGCAAAATTGTGGTTCTCAAAGTGGTGGGCGCGCACCCCCTGGGGGGCGCAGAGGCATGACAGGGGGGCGCGAGAGACCAGGAGGAAAAATGGTTATTTAAAAAAAAAAAGATTTAAAAAAAAAAAAAAAAATCATAATTTAAAAAATTATTGATTCGAAAATAATATGATGCAGTACAGTACTATTACGTCTGAGTCTCTGTGTTTAATTAAAGCTCGGCTCTGTGTGTTTGTGGAACGAACCATTTTGTGTGCGTGCGCCAGCGAGAGAGAGAGGGAGAGAGCGCACTGGTACCGGAGATCGTTGTTGTTAGCTTCTGGTGCTAGCGAGCTACGCTAACGGATATAAGGAGTTTTTTCAACAACAAAGTGGAGGAGAGTCCTCTCCTGTCAGACTGAGAGACTCAGTGAGCTAAAGGACTCTCTCAGTGTTATCTCAGTGGGTCTCAAACGTTTTGGTCACCATTTATGTAAACAATTATTTCCGAGGCACACGTTTATATGATCGTTATACAAAAATAAGAGAATAAATTAAAAACAGGTATGAAATACTATATGACAGTAAAAAAAGAATAAAGTTTAAAAGGGTGATTTGTAAAAATATCCATAAAGAAAAAGTAAATCGGTTTACAGTTCAGTTTCAAATGGGTGTTGAGAGATATATCTATAGATCTCTTCATGTTGCTCTCAAAGTGCACCAGATTGATGCATTTAACTTCAATATTTAAAAATATATCTTCCCGGGGGAGCTTGACTCCGGACCCCCCTATGTGAGGTCCACACACCACCTGTAAAAATAGCACTTTACCCCTGCTTACACCTATATGCCGTGAGCATTATTCATTGTAACAGTTGCGGGAACACTGTGTGTATGCGTGGGGAGTGTTGCAGTAGAAAATTCCACTGTAGCGCCCGGTACATTAATGGGAAACCCTAAATGTTTGAGCACCCTATGAAACGTCAAGCTACCCCACAGCACCCCCAAAATAAATCTCTGGCGCCGCCACTGAGCCTGACTATTTGTGTTGGGGGGGCCCGACTTTTTTTTTTCTCCAAAGGGGGGGCCTGACAGAAAAAGTTTGAGAACCACTGCACTAATTCAACACGAAAATGAACCTTCGCAAGGTCCTTCGGCTATTTTTTGGCATGCCAAAGATTTTGCCACCGCTCACGAAGTTGCTGCCGGAGCATGAGAAACTCCACCGGCGGTTATACGATGGCTTAAGATGCCCTCACGAATGGCCCGATGTTGCTACGATCACAGCCGAATTTGAACATTTCCTTTATCGTGTGTCCATCGGGTTGTTTTATTGCACAACAAAATCATGTAAACATATTATGTAAATAACCCAATTTGTGTTCTGTGAAACTGAAAAGGATATAATATATTATTTTGAAGGCGAGTTGACAGGAAGTTGTTGTTGCTATGGAAACAACATTACGGAGAAAACTTAATATCTAAGACGGATAAAGTAAAGAACAAAGTCTGAAGATATCAGTACAGTATCATAGTACTGTAACATAATTGTTTGTGTTACTTTCGTTGCAGTTGTATGTCTTAAATGTAATGTAATGTTGCCTTCGTGTGTGGTTCGGGGCCATCTTCGTGCGAAATTCACAATTCCATATTCGTGTGTCCATCGGGTGTCAACTTCGGGACAGTGTGACAGGGGCTTTAAGCTGCTCCACTTGCTTTGAACCAGCTGCAATATAAGCTGAAACTGGTCTCTTGATAATTTCAAAGCGCTTCTTTATGACCGAGAAGCAACTCTGTTTGTCTGTAGAGGATTTGTTGAGGACGTTTCTGATTGTGGCTATGATATGTTCTCTGATCTGGTTTTTCATGTGTTGACTGTAACTATGCTGCTGCCTGTCTTGGCCAGGATTGTTTTTAATCTGAATGAAGCTTGAGTAAAGTACACATAGAAAACACCCTGAGATATACACAGGAGCT